ACTTTGGTGAAAAAGAGACATTATTTAAAATTCTATATACAACTGTGATAATCAATAGTGTAATGAATCTTTGTACATAGGTCTGACTTGTTTTGAATATATTATTTTAAAACAAGTGGATTGTATGCTGTGCATTTATTGTTCCAATTTATTGCCAACAAGTCACAGATACCTACTGTAAAGAATCCAGCCCATATAAAAAACTGACATTTGGAGAACCAGCCAGGATTATACAGTGGTAATGGCAGTAGAAGAAGACATGAATGACAGTGAAAGTAGGCCTATATATGCACAACTGTAGTGATGCCAAAAATAGTATAGAGATTACAATCATGCTATATAACCATGTCAACTGACTTTGGTAAATGGATAGAGAAAGGAGAGTGACTTGGGCTCAAAGACAGCGATCTATGAGGGTGTGTTAAACAACAACAACAAGAACTAGAGAGAGAAGAGCATAGGCAGAGAAGAGAGGAAGAAAGACTAAAATAAGAAGAGAATAAGACCACAAATTGAGAAAGAAGAAAAGGAGAGAGAGGAGAGAATGGAAATGGAGAGAATAAGAGCACAACTTGAGACTGCCAAGCTCACCCAACAGAAAGAGGAAAGATCCAAGAATGACAATGGGGTCTGGGCCAGCCAACCCAAGCTGCCCAAATCTGATGAACAGAAAGACGAAATGGATGCTTTTCTGGAGAAATATGAAAGATTTGCCCAAAGTCAGAACTGGGACAAAGGTGACTGGGCAGTCTGTCTCAGCCGCCTTCTTATAGGAAAAGGCCTACAAGTATATGAAGGCATGATGTCAGAAGATGCCATGGACTATGAAAAATTAAAAGTGGCCTTGCTGAAATGCCATGAACTTACTGAAGAAGGTTTTCATCAGAAGTTCAGAGAAGTCAAACCTGACACTGGAGAAACTGTATTACAGTTAGTGGCACGTCTACGGCAATACTTCACAAGGTGGACTGACATGGCCAAGTGTGAAAATAGTTTTGAGGGACTGACAGATCAACTAATACGTAAACAATTCATGATGAAATGCTCCACTGAAGTCACTGTTCCTAAAAATAAAGCACCAAAAGTTGTGGATGAGATGATCAAGCTGGCAGAACAGTATATAGAAGCCCATGGAGGAAGTATAACTAGCAAGTCCAAGAATAACCAGTGGTGGCCAACCATAAGCAGGAGTCCACCAAAAGTGACAGGTTAACAGAAAAATGGGAGAAAAGATGCTATATTTGTTATAAAATAGAGCACCCTGTAAATGAGTGCAAGTCTGATACCCACAAGCAACAGCAGAAATCTCAACATTAAGCAGCTGGACCTACCTACAAAGATGGTGCTGGCAAGAAACAAGAAAAGAGTGACTATCACCATGGATGCTGCTGCCAGAAGAAACAGAACAGACAACCCGTCAGGTTCACAGCACGAATCAAGTGCTATTTCCATGATTAATCAATGCATGACTGATGGTCAACTCAAGTGATCAAATGGATCAACAGTACAAGTAGTGATTGGAACATGTGACAACAAATCACAACATGCCAATAGGTGAAGGCTGTGTTGGGGACAAGAAAGTGAAGGTCCTACGAGACACTGGGTGCAGTAGTGCAGCAATGAGAACCAGTCTTGTATTCGATGGTCAGGTGACAAGCAAGGTACATCTTTGTGTGCTGGTTGATGGAACAGTGAGAAAGTTCCCATAGAAAGAATAAAGGTGGACACTCCATACTGTGTGGGAGACCTTGAGGCCATGTGTATCAACGAACCAATATATGACTTGGTGATTGGAAATATACCAGACAGTAGAAGTTTGGAGGAACCAGACAGAAAGAAAATGGATGAAGCATCTGCCGTCACCACTAGAGCTCAAGAAAAGAAGAATGAGCAAGACATCGAGCTCCTGCAAGTATCAAAAGTCAACATCCCAAACGTATAATGGTTGGAACTGATAGAAACAAAGAAAAAAGATCATTCACTGAAGAAATGGGACAGTGATCAAGAGAAACTTGAGCACAAGACAAATGTGAAAGGGACTTACAGAATAGAGGAATAGAAGGAAGTGCTATACTGGATCTATCAAGGCAGTTATACTGGGGAAGTTGAACAGATCATAGTACCAACAGAATGCCGGACTCAAGTGATGAAGCTGGCTCATGAATCATTTGTAGGAGGATATCTAGGAGCAAAGAAGATGGCAGAGAGGATCACCAGCAAATTCCACTAGCCAGGGGTCAAACAAGTGGAATGTGTGCTGTCTGTTTATTGTTCAAATGTATTGCCAACAAGTCACAGCCCCTATAAAAACTGACAATGTCCTAGTATCTCTTGTTATGATCAGGTAGCCATACTTACATTTTACCCATGACATTACCATACTTTCATACTCCCTTTTTAGAGTCAAATATTCTTGTCATTACTCATTTTCTAACAAACTATCCATGATATGGCTTTATTTTTGCAGTTAAATAACACATCACACAATCAGTCTATTTTTCACACATAAAGTGTTCTACTGTGAGTGAAGGGGTACAAATCAATAAGCTAGTCATTGTGCTTTACTAATACATTATACAAAAGCAACAGAGTATACTTACGGACGATCTCCTTCTGGTGTCCAGTTATCTTTGTTGTAATAATGTTCTGCTGGTTCCATAAACAAAACTTTCTGTAAGCTGGAAAGAAATGTTTCAAATCAATAACAATTGTGGATTATGTTAGGTATACAGAGGGTTATATTAAAACAATTTTGTAAATTCAAATAAGCAAGTTATGTGACATCCATAGCTGATACAATGTCACAGAGGAATAGTACGTATCATAACTATATTTTGACGTTGTTTAGCATTTTGTAGATAGTGTGATACCACCAAAAATGAATTACTTTTAGGAAGGGTATGTAACAACTCTTTCTGATGAAAAATATCCATACACTCAGATCATATAAATGTATTAAGATTGGGAATTTATGTTTTCCAAGATGTGGATATCCCTAGTATTTAATAGCACTTGAAAACAAAAGAATAAATATCAACTTGGGGTACCAGAACCATCCAGAAAGAGCTCTGCAACAAGTTGTACCCCATCCATGGTGAGCAAAATGTAGCATTTTCAAATAATGAGAATTCAAGAATGCAAAGGTCAGTGGCAAAAGCCATTCACTTGTCCTAGCCAACGTAATAAAAATTATCTCCAAGTGGAAAAGCAACACAAGTCAGACAGACGTACACAAATAGCTTCCATGAGATATCTTTCAACCATTACATACCTCAAGCAGCTGGAGAATGAAACAGGTTTCATGCTATTCCAATAAGAAAATATACTGGTGGAGTCACAAGAAACAGCACCTATGAAACTCTGTACAATTACATTGTTAAAATAGATGCTGGGAAACCATATTCTTGTATACAAGATGAATTATGGAAAGCAAGTAGGAAGGAATAGTATGCTTTGCACTGGAATTTACACTGCACGACTATTGCCAAGATGCACAGACAACAGACAGAGCATGATCTGACACAGCAACATGGACTGTAACAACATATCAGGCTATAAAATCGTATTAATATAACGTACTCAACCTCTGGATATTGAACAATATGCAATACATCAGAATAAGAAAATTATTAAAAACTTGTCCCAAAAGGTTTAGTTTTATGACAAATAATCAAAAATACATTTTATCTTTGAACCTATCTTATCATGCTGTCAGTTTCATAACAACATAGCCTGCTTCATCTGTAAACTACAGACGTAAGAAAGTCCACAGAAAAGAACACAGAAATACAGTTCTCACAACAGCCAACAGTTAACTCTCTCAACATGGGTTTGGTAAATTTGACCGACCACATGACCTCTTTGTACTCGATTAAAGTCTTTATAGATTTAATACTTCTAACTTTCAATATAGTGTGTATATCTTCACAAAATTTGGCAGTCTTTCAGTAAATATTTTAAGTCTTTCACATACAAAAAACATATTTTTAGTGAAGTATTTTTAATAAAATAAAATAAAAATTTGTCCATTAATACAGTGAATATTTGTTTTGAATACTCAGTGTGCAAAGTAATTTTCATGTTAAAATAAAAAATACTTTTCCTCATCACAAATTTCCTTTGTGTAATCAGAGCAGAGACATTGAGAGATACAAGTATATACTGTGATAATTATAATTATGAAAAACTGTTGAATTAGATAAAATGAAAACTATATTACCACGTACTAATATATAAGCTTTCCTGAATCCTCACTATTTTCTTATAAGGAGAATTTTCACACGACTTGATAAAAGAATCAAGAACTTTCAGCAGAATATCACAACAAGAAACAGAACAAAGGGAATTTTACTGATGATTGAATACATTTTGATCAGAACTTTTCATCTGGACATGGAAGAAAGAGAAGCTTACTGATGATTGAATACATTTTGATCATAACTTTTCATCTGGACATAGAAGGAAGGGAAGTTTACTGATGATTGAATAAATTTTATCAGAACTTTTCATCTAGACATGGAAGGAAGGGAAGCTTACTGATGATTGAATACATTTTTATCATAACTTTTCATCTGGACATGGAACGAAGGGAAGTTTACTGATGATTGAATACATTTTGATCATAACTTTTCATCTGGACATAGAACGAAGGGAAGTTTACTGATGATTGAATACATTTTGATCATAACTTTTCATCTGGACATAGAAGGAAGGGAGGAAGCTTACTGATGATTGAATACATTTTGATCATAACTTTTCATCTAGACACAGAAGGAAGAAAGTTTACTGATTATTGAATACATTTTGATCATAACTTTTCAACTAGACACAGAAGGAAGGCAAGCTTACTGATGAATGGATACATTTTGATCATAACTTTTCAACTAGGACAGAAGGGTAGCTTACCAATGAATGAATGCATTTCGATCAGGCTTATACATCTTGGGAACAATCCAAAGCCACCATACGGCATCACGCTGGATCTTAGCCACCTGCATTTGATATGTTCTCAACACACCAATGTCTGTAATAACAGTTTGGAAGAAACCCAACATGTTATTAACTCCAGCTATCAAGTTTTAAGTCCTTTATTTCAAAATAAACCTTTAAAAAACTACTCAAAACTTCATATGTATTGTCATGTGACCTGCGAGCTACAAGAATTCTTTACTTTGGCCCTCTGTTTCTTCTATAATTAAATGGCAGCTGTGTAGATGTATGTCTAGACTATAAGATGCTTACGTAAACTATTGCCACATACATTTCAAAATTCTCTGGATGAATGCAGTTGAAACAAGTAATAAATTTTGTCAACCTCTGACAGGTGCCACATTCACCTTCAACAGATTTGTTTGAACTTCATAGCCTACATGTGGAGGTTACATACACATGTATATAGTCATTATATATAGAGCTCATTTTACAATATAATCTAACAATAGTTATAGTGAAATTGGCACACAGTTGTCATCATGAAGTACATGTAACTGACTATAACATTGTTTGCTGCTTGATCGACTATAGCACTTGTGGTTGTTTCTTATCTAAATAACTTATAGTTAGAGATACAGTTAAATTGTGTTTAGATCTTACTTTTTATTTTAGTTAATTATGTATTAATTATTGTAACGAATTTGTTGTCATGTATTTATTTTTATTATGAATGTTGTTTAGATTAAGTTTGTATTTAAAAATATGCGTAACTTATAGTGTTGGATATGTATTACCGTATTCTTTGAAATATAAGACGCACCCTTATTTTGAAGACAAAGTTTTGGGGAAAAAAAAGCTACAGTCACATTTGAAAGATTTTTATTGAACAAAAATACAATTTGATACTTTAAAAATTAGTATATATTG